GGGGGGGAGGCGGAAATCACCTGGCGGGGCTGGACCGAGAGGAGGGGAGGGCTGGACCGAGAAGAAAAGAGGGGAGATGAGATGTATATGCGGGTTTACCTGAATGTACTAGGTCGAAGACCCCATCCATGTAGAGCCACTCATCCATACCGGCGAATAAAAATAATGGTGATCTATTTTAAGCACCTGAGGTCCAGAGCGAGCACGCCGCTGCTGGCCAGTACAGAAACAATGTGAAGCGCGGAGCGTCCCCAGCGCAACTGGGAAGACACACCGACAAGGATGATCATTATCGCCGGGTACAAGATGTTGGTCTAAAAGGAACCGTCAAGGGTAGTGGGGAAGGATGTTGGGAGTGGGGGAATGGTTTTACTTGGCAGTCAAGCATGACTCTCCTCTTGCTGTACTTGCCAGCACACACCGTAAATATCAGACAGGAACAAAGCCACACAAAAGATGGGAGCACGACCAGTGGCGTGAGTCCGTACGCCCAGACGGACCCAACATAGCTCGTGATGGCCATGATAACTCGGGTCTGTGCTACTGAGCCCAAGTCCACCTGTTTGGAAATGTCTTTAACTACTTCAACTCCTCGAACAAAACAACAGATCGCCACCAGACACTGAACGATAGCACCTAGCTTGATACCATACACGTCAAAACAAGTCCACAGAGGCTGCAGTGCAATTAGAAGCGGTACTGCTATATAGTTAATCTCATCCACCTACGACAACAGACCGTTTCATACCCGGCCCTAACCACCTAGTGGGCCCTAACCACCTAGTGGGCCCTAACCACCTAGTGGGCCCTAACCACCTAGTGAGCCCTAACCACCTAGTGGGCCGTGACCACCTTGTGGGTCGTGACCACTTAGTGGGTGGGGAAACCCACTCAGTACGGCAGACTCAGCAGGGACGGGGACGCAGCAGGGACGGGGACTCAGCAGGCACGGGGAGTGGTGGCGTTGTTACCGTGACCCAAGGTCCTTGTTGGCCTTTGGAGGTGCATCCGAGGAGAATGCGGCCCGTGCTGTAGTAGTACCAGCACCCGATGATGAAGGGTACTTGGACGGTAAGAGTGAGCATGGCGCAGGGTGGGTAGTGACCTTCCGTGGAGGCTGCCAGGATGATGGTGAGTAGACTGCAGGTGGCGGAATCCACGACGTGGTCGAGGAATTCACCCTTCACGCTCGCTTGTTTCGTTGCACGGGCGTGTTTTCCATCAAGATTGTCGGCCGTGGCATACAGGACCCAACAGACTGCGGCCAGCCATCGACTTAGCGGCATCACCAACACTGCCGTGGCCGCGAAGAGTAAACCGACCCACGTGATTGCATCCGGCGTGACGTTAGCCGGAATGCGCCGTACCAGCCACTCACACGCCGGGGATACTACCCCACGATAAAAAGGCGAGGTCGTAGGCACAGTGTACTCATACTCACCCATAAATAAAATGTTCCTCCTAATTGCACCTCTGCTGGTGCGCCTGCTGCTGACTGACTGACTGCACCCTCTTGCCCTCCCTTCCGCTCCGTTCCCTTCCGCTCCGTTCCACCTCCCGTTTCCGTTCACCAGTCCGCCAGACACCGAACCAGTCCGCCAAACACCGAGCTTTTTGCAGTGCAAAGCGCTCACGTGTAACTGACGATCGCCACAGACCCACAACTGCAATTCAGACGCGCCTTTAGCACTGTCCAACAAATATAGACTAACTAACTAACCAGTCGACGTGTGCGACTAACCAGTCGACGTGTGCGACAAACCAGTCGACGTGTGCGACTAACCAGTCCCAAATGAAACTTCCGTCCCAAACCTCACCGTGCAGTGGGGTCGGGGTCCGTTCGAGGCTCTAGGTTAGGCCATCTCCTGGACCTGTTGGGTGAGGTGTTGGATGGCTGCTTTGAGAGCGTTTGCATTGGTGCTGGCGTAGGCGCTGGTGTATGCTTGTGTTTTATCTTCCACTCGTTCGACTGCTTGTTGTAAAAGTTGAAGTGCCTGGATAGCGGCGAGTAGGTCGTTGGCTTCTTTGTCACCTTCCGAGCGTCGTCTGGCATATTCGGATTTAAGTTCGTCAATTCTTCGAATAAGTTGATTATCCGTTTGTTCAGCTTGTTGAGGTAGTTGATTGAGAAGTTCATTACGTTTCTGTTGGTCGCGTTTGAGTTGACGGATATTGCGACTTAGTTCTTCGAGTTCCTGTTGCGCCCGATCACATTCAACAGCCAGTTCTCTCTTCTTGGTTCCTAAGCCACTGCGCTCACCAGTGTGCTTAAGACGTAGCTCGTCCTGTTCTTCGAGCAACAATTTGTAGGCCGCCACAGACTGACTACACTCTCCCAATAACCTATTCACAATCTGCAGCATGTCTCCAAATTCCCTTACACCGCTTTTCATCAATTGCTGTCGACTACACTCCTCTTTCGCCGACGCTAACTCAGTCTGAGCCACCTCTGCCTCCCGTCGACGACTCTCCAATACCTCCGCCAAACCACGCACGTCTATCGCTCCACCACGCGTCTCCAACTTAGCCAAGTCCTCCAACTCCTGCCGCCTTAAACCCAACGCACGACTCAAGTCACTCTGACGCTCACGCAGCGGCGCCAACTCATCCTCCAACCGACGTAATGCCTCCTGCTCACTCTGTGTGACAAACTCCAACTCCTCCTTGCGACGCTGTAACTGCTCACTGCATGACTGCTGTGCAGCCAACGCCGCCGTCAACGACTCCCCATCTTGACTCACTAAAATACACACACGTATGCGAAATAGTCGGTGCTATTGTGTGCGCGAGCTACATGAATGTTAGGGTCTGCTTGGGGGTTGGAGTGTTCAGGCCAATGGTTTTTCATGGGCAGTGGCGCTGATATCATACGGTTAAGATACTGTTCTTCGGTGTGATGTGTTTCGGCGAACTCTTCAGTCAGTGCGTCCGCCACCTGTCTAGACAAGCCGACGAATTCGAGGCCGTGTCTGAAAATTTCGATGAAGCACTTTCGTAGGTCCGCCTGCTCTACCGGAGTGAAGCCTGAGCTACTGTTCTTGACGTATGCGAAATGGAGAGGCGAGTACTCTTTAATATTAAGATTGGCCACGAGTACTTGTACCATTAGGTAAAGGCGGATGACGGGGATGGCTTTGTGAAGATTACATTCACGGCTGATAAGCCCGCGGACTTGATCGTAGATCTCGTCTTCCCAGGAAGCGGCCACTCGGTCGATCTCCACGTCCTCTGTTAGGACCACGAACTCCGCCAACATTCGGTGGAAGACGCCTACATCCAGCTCGCCCAGACGGCTACGACTACGCGCTCCGTTTGATTCCCGAGTGGACGAACCACCCACACTGCCACCTACGCCCGGAACCCTAAAGAGACTGCTCAAGTACTCCTCCATCTCGATCCCATTACTCTTCAAAATCTCCAATACCGACTTCAACTTCTCGTCTACCGACGACACTCGCCTGGAACACTCCCTCTGGCACTCCTCCCCACCACCGGGGACCGACTTGCGGACACTCGCAGACCGGCCGACAGATAACGAGTCATTGCGCGGCATTGATAAAGCTCCAAACTCAGACATCTTCTCCAAGGAGACTTTCCGTTGAATGTCTTTCCGTTGAATGTCTTTCCGTTGAATGTCTTTACGTTGAATGTCTTTTCGTTGAATGTCTTCCCGATATTTATTTCACAACTGCTATGTAAAGAACGCTAGTTGATTGCTGTGTAAACAACGTTGGTTTGTTTGCTATCGATTCGTTGCAAAATGTCCGGAAAAATAACCGTATGGAAAGCCTACCAAAGCATCATAGTTATCCCATAATAGATACCCCAACCGACGTACTGAACCCCACCCAATCCTCGGACTTCTGTCGAACACGCCCTCAGACTGTGCCTTCAGACGTCGCCGGGTAGCGAGCTTTGGAAATGGATTCTCTCCCTGATTTGCATCGCCAGCGGGGTGTGTATAGCGAGCTACTGCGTGACAACAAATATCTGGCTGTGGGGCGAGGAGACTCATTATCTATCGCTCGCGGTTCCATCGATCGGATTCGCCTTGTTCACATTGTTCTATTGGAATTGGCTCAGCCTAAAATATTTCAGGCTTAGTAGCTAACCGGCTGGCATAACCAGCCAATCGCTAGCACACACGCGTGTGCTAGCACACACGCGTTTGTGCCTAGGCGATTCAACGGTCGCCGCCCGAAAAAGGATTGTCGCATAATCGTTGAAAAGCGGGGAAGCGTTCTAGGAACTTGGAACCGTCCCGGAGGAATCTCAACCCTGACAACATCACCAAGCTCACGAACACATTCGCGTTACGGAATTTTTCTAACAGAACACAGGCGTTACGGCGGCGAGGCCGTGGGACTTACCGGCAAGGGGGGTATCGGGACAAATGATTGAGACAGAGTTCGCGACATGTGCATAGAACTCACAACACTCCAGTATTTGTGTGAACACATTCGGGAGCTCCGGGAATGTCGAGGCCAGCCGCGAGTGGAGCACCGAGGGACTTGTAGTCTATAAAAGCCGCTATTGCCCCAGGTTTCCTCTTTCCAGGTGTCCCCCTAGCATTTAGGTGGTGTAGTTTACGTGTCCCCCTAGCATTTAGGTGGTGTGGTTTACGGCGATGAATTTGAAGACGGCGCCTGCACACCCAGGAATGTGTCTCTGGTGCGGTAGTGCGTTGATATCGACGTTGAGCATGCAGTACCGGTTCTTGAGGCAGACATCGGCGACCACGCCTTCGAGTACATGGTTGTAGCTCCGCCGGACGGCCTTGACGATGCCGAGGAAGGAAGCGATATCGAAGTCGATGAACTGTGTGGGCAGTTTAACGGTGCCCGGGGCGAAGGTAAGTGGGTAGAGGGAGAGTATCCTCGTGACAAGCTGTAGCGACTCCTTGCAGAGTGAGGGTTCAAGGCATGCCGCCATCTCCGTCCGCCACGCACTGGCCCTTGGTTCCTTGGCGAGTTGCCTCTTGTATTCCAAAGACAGCGACTCGGCGGCGTCCAGTGAAAACTGCGTCAAGGAGACGGGGTAGCAGTTCTCGGCGGCGTAGGTAAAGTCGTCACCAGTAAGTAGCCCCAGCCGTAGCAAGCCGTATGCCAGCATGAGGGAGAGCACCATTGTGTCCGAGAAGTCTTGGATGGCGCCCGTGTCGCGTGTGGCGCCCGTGTCGCGTGTCGCACCCGGATCGCGTGTCGCACCCGGATCGCGTGTGTGTGTGCTGCCGTGCGTATTGTGAGTGGATGATTCTTCGGAAGAAGGGTCGTCGTGTTTGGAGTAGACGGAGCGGCACAGTTGCAGTGCGAGCAGCCAGCCGGAGGGGGTGCCGTTGTGCTCGACGAACTCCAATGCGTGAAGATAGTTAATGTTAACTAGTGCGTGTGTATAAGCCTTGCCTAAGTCTTTGGTCGGTGCGTCCTTAGCGGTCATGAAGGGTGACTCGTTCACGTCTTTTTCTCTGATACTCATACCAGGCTGGAAGGGGATGCCGGCCGTCTCCAGGATCCACTTGATCGTGTCCCGCATGGGCAGCACGTTAGTCACCTGCTGTGGCGCCACGAAGGAGCTGGTAGACGTCGTGGGAGGTTCACTGACCTCCGAATAACGCTCTCGGTTGTTGACGGCGACTCCTCGCGTAATGGGGTTTTTTTCTCTGCTCGAAGGAGAGGAGACAGCAATCTCCGCGGACTCGGCCAACCTTCTTCGCAAAACTTCGGGACTGAAGTTAAGATTCAGCGAATCCTGTAACGTGCACTGATATTCCCCATCGGATTTGCTGTTGAACAACACCGACATCGGATCCGATTCATGTCGGGAGGTGTACTCGAACGTGATCGCGCGGTTTCGGATGGAGAGGTGCAGGTGGCTTGCGATCCTTCCCAAAGCCACTAGACGGAGTGATCGGAGTTGCACGAGACACTTCTCATATTGTTCGGAGAGGACCAATGGGTGTTCGTCTTCGATCCAGACGCCATAAGACAAAACTTTCGGTAGCAGCGGCGAAATGAGGCCTTTGAAAAGGAGGCCGAAGACGAGGTCCGGGAGTTTATAGCCTGCGACCACGTGGTAGTCGGCTGGCACGGGAGCTGGATGACCCACAGGGTTCAGTATCTGCCGGTTCTCGATGATTTTGACCACACCTTCTTCGGTAAGTGCGGGTGATATGTCGATCCAATTTCTGCAGACTGCATACTGGTGGAGAAACTCAAACTGCACGTTCTCCACGGGCACATACCAGATATAGCGCTGCAGGTTGCCCGCTTGGGCAAATTTAATGGCATGGTCGAAAGAGAATTTTTCGGCCAGCAAGTTGATGTGTGGCAGTGTGTGGCAATAATCCGTGCCCGCGAGAATGCAGGCATCGCCGAACTGTTGGTGCGTAAGCATCCAGCTATTGAGCACGTTCTGCAGGTCGATGGTCACAACATGGTCGGAGGCAATGTTCACAATCACGGACTGAAGCCCCCAAAGCAGCAAGCTAATGCTTCCCATTATATGAGTGATACATTGTCTGCTCAAGAAGTAAAGCATCTGTCCAGCCGTGTGATAAGGACAACCAACACAGATCACCTTGTACGTCTGCAAAATTCGCCACAACTCCTGCAACGTCTCATCATTCACCCGCGATGTTGTCCGCTCAAACACGTGAGTCACGCTCTCCATATCTCCCGCATCAAAGGCCTGCCAACCCTCCGTGATCGATTGCGCATCTACCTTGTTGAACAAACAATGCCCACGTGGACTCAGGCCTTGGAAAAAGAAGATCGGCCTGATATCACGCTTCCATAAGTTCTTCAATTGAGCTAAAACCGCAGCATGGAAACTCAATGGAATGCCACCCAACAAATCCGAAAAAGGGTCCTTCAAATTTGGCAAACTCCGAATCCAGGTCATTGCATCAATACCCACGTACGCACCCTTCAACATCCCAATGTCCTGCGTCCGGGTCAACTTCTCCTAAACACACACACTTCGCCACACACTTGGTCACACACCTTCCAATGCCCACCAACTGGAGGCCGCTGTTACTATATCCGGGTGTCACCGTCATGCAACTGCTAAGCTAGTCGTCTTACCTGCAGGACGAAGGATTGGAGCTGCCGAACTCGCATTTTAAGCCTTAAAAAAATGGCTCTAGGGAAGCCAGGTATCTCATACGAGTAAAACCTCACGCCCCAAATTTAACGGAAGAAGAACAGCTCGGAACCGACACTGTCATCGTACCGTCATCGTTGATCAAAGGGCCAGCTTGCACCCGGAATCCTGGCACCGGGTTTTCGGACACGGAATTCGCGCACATGGGATCCTGACACAGGGATTTCGCACACGGGGACCTTGTGGAGCCTGAGTGGCGACCAACGCTGTGGCGGTCGAGATTGTGGCGGTCGACCGATCGACTCTGTGGTGATCGACTCTGTGGTGATCGACTCTGGTGCTGCTCATTTGACTGTTCGATTTGCAGCGATTTGCGATTGAATGATTACTGCGGGCGGGTGTCGAATGGTCGTGCAATGATGGAGACGCTGCATGTGGTCATGCGCGACTTGATAAAGTTGGAAACTCAAGTGTCTCGAGAATTGGTTAGTATAGCCAATAAGATTGTGATTCCCAAGACTGAGAGGAATACCTCTATTGAAGCCATTTTTGAGCAGCTAAAATATGACTTGTTGAATCGGAGTGAGCATGGACGGTTGTTTGTTGAATCGCTGCAGATGGACATGGAGGAGAAGAGCTTGTTAAAGCTGCATGCAAACCATACCGATATATTTGGTAAGGTAAAACGTGACCTGACCATGCAACAGGAAACTCTGCGAAAACTCATGGCTAACTACAAGGAAGCATTGGTGGACACTGTCCGGTTCAACAAGGCGTGCTTGCTCTGCACATTCAAGACACAACTGAGCCCATCAGGCGGCCCACTCTCCGCTGCGGGAAGTACTTCAGGAGGAGGCATACCCGGAGGATTTGCTGGGCTACCCAACGTGCTAAACGGTGGTGGTCTTCTGAGCGGATTCATGCCTGGATCCAACCTAGGGAACCATGCAGATTCCCTACACCGCACAGATTCCCACAACCTCCACCGTGCAGATTCCCACAACCCTGCGGATTCACACAACCGTGCGGATGCCGTGGACCACGCTGCAGTCGACAAGGCCCTAGATGGAAGTCGTAGTGGTGGTCTGAAGTCTCACACTGTCAGATTACGCGAGAAGAACATCCGGTTGTATGACCAGACCTTGCAGGCCATTGGGGACATGTTGCACGCGGAAAAGAGGTTTAAGGACGCTGGGAAACGCTACAATGAGTTCTTGATAACCTACAAGCAAAACAAGACTAGGATGGCCCAGGTGCTAACGGACCTCGATTTTAAACGGATGTCCTGTATTAAAGACTCCGCGACCAAGCTGCTCGTCCACCGTATGGCCCAGATCAAAAACCAGGAGTACGACTGCCAACTGTGCATCAAGGCCATCGACGTTGCAGACGTAGAACGGGACCTGCACAACGTGCTCAAGTCTTACCTCATTCGGGGCAGGGCCGACTCTGCCGTCACAGGCAGCACGGTCACCGGGACCGTGAACACTGCCAGCACTACTGCTGGTGCCAGCCTGGAGCGGGCCGACGGAGCGCCGAGGAGCACTGGGCTGGACGCGGTGAGAACGAAGCCCGTGGACTTGCTCGACGTCACGGAGGCTGCGTCTGAAGCTATGCCGTCGGAACTGAGCAAGGCGTCGGAACGAAGCAAGGCGTTGGAGCCGAGCAGGACATTGGAGCCAGGCAAGGGAACAAGCGAGGAGTTGCACACGGCTGAGTCGGGAAGTCTTGCTAACGAAAACTTCGAGGAATGTGCCTCCGGTTCCGTAATAGCCTCCACTCGAGTTGACCCGAAGGTGGGCGATCGAGTGGACGCGACGGTGGGTGGTCTTCCTCGCCGGCTTCCTCCGAATTCAGATGACGACATGCCCGATATATCGGAGCAGACTGGTGCGTTGATTAAGAGCCTTACCGCTAATAGACTCCATGAGGAAGAGTTGGTGTTGCCTACCATCCAGGAACGGGAGATCATTGAGAGGCAGATCCTTGCTAAGACACCACCGAAGCCCTATCCATTCGAAGGCCTCATCAAAGGCATCGAGCTCCTCGGCCAAGGGCCACAGAGACACCGCAGGGCCGCGGACGAAGTTGTGCTAGCCATCAAGAACAAGTCGTGGGACAGCCTCAAATACCAGCTTCAAGAAGGGCTCAAAGCACCGGTCCTGTCCTCGGCCTGCGACGATGACAGAGATATCGAATACCTTAAAGGCAAATGCGTCATCTCAGAGTAACTTCGCCAACTTGTTTCCACACAACTTGCACCCCTAAATTGTTTCTGAATCCACCTGCTGTTTCTCATTCTTTGCGTGCAGCTTTTACAGCGGTATTGTTAATGGCGCGATCGTACCGGTTAAAGAGAACATCGAGGCTGTCTCTCGTTACATGGCTCAGGCTCGATTCCGACGATATTTTTGTGACATGGTCTGCAAATCGATGAAGACCAAGGAGGATTTGAAACTGACATCCAAGTAAGTCCCACCGGTAGACCAGCAGGTTCGTTACTAAGCACGGTCAAGAGGGACTAACGCGGTGGGTTGGTTCCCCCGGTGGGTTGGTTCCCCCGGTGGGTTGGTTCCCGCGGTGGGTTGGTTCCCGCGGTGGGTTGGTTCCCGCGGTGGGTTGGTTCCCGCGGTGGGTTGGTTCCCGCGGTGGGTTGGTTTCCGCGGTGGGGACGGGTGTGTTTTTCAGGCCCTTCTTCTGTGCTCTATGTCAAGTTATCACGGCCATGCTGGATTGGACGGAAGTGCATCACGACGTGGAATCGGGTAGGATGGTGCTCCTCTTCAGTACGCGCATATATTTTGTTGGTACTGCCGAGTCCGATCCACAGCAGTGGGGGCGCGGTGGTTTGAATGACTGGAACGAACTCTGTGAAGCGTCCAGCGACGAATCCACGTCTCTGGAAGGTGTGGAAGGGAACCACGAGCCTGGAACGCCAGTCAGGTGGCGTCTCAACGTACGTAGCACCACCTTCAAATCACACATAAGCACACTCTTCATGGCGGTGCTTGTAGAGGGGTTTGTATGACCACAAGACATGGAACCGGGTGACGTTCTGGGAGGAGGTTTTGGTCGTGTCGCTGAGCGAAGACATGCAGCGGCAATTGATAGAAATGGTGTATGGCGAGCACTCTGACGCGTTGAACAAGTTTCTGGAATTGAATCCGTTTACCTCTAGCATCCGCGCATTGCCGGCGTACATGAATTCTTTTGGGATCAGTCAGACTGAGGTAGCGTCGTTGGTAAGAAAGATTTGTAATCAATACAGCTTGTCGACTGATTACACCAACCTGCTCCTGTCCAGCATCGAACCCCAGGGCGTCTCATCGGAAGAGAATGGGGCCTCTGGCGACCCGCCGGCGGATGCGAAGCCGCCTGTTCCAGGCGTTTCGAGGCGGAGAGGCAGTGAACAAGGTGGTGCTGGCGAGGTTCTGGCACAGGCGGGTCAGATACAAGCCAGCCAGACAGAAGTCAGCCAGATACAAGTCAGTGAGGGGGCAGCTGCCCCCTCTGGTGGAATAGATTCCCCCTCTGGTGGGATAGATTCCCCCTCTGGTGTGAAGACAGACGGTGTGAAGACAGGGGGTGTGAAGACAGGGGGTGTGGCGTAGAGGGCGGGCTTTGGTTGAGGGGCATGCACTTGGTGGATGGATAATTTGGAGGGGAGAGTGGACCGATACTATGACCCGACGACAAACGTGACCTACGACTGGGACGACGATTTTCGGTGTTATATCGGGTACATAGCGGAACTAATTTCGGACGACCCGTTTTACTACCGGTATGAGACCCCGCCGGTAGAGTCAGACGATGAGGGAGCTTTGAAGCCGCGGCAGCACGAGGATGAGGACATATTGGCGTTGTTGGAGCCGACCAGAATTAGGAGTCGATCGAGTGTTGACGAGGTCGTGGACGAGGGGCCGGACCCATACAGTACCCGTGTGGATGCTAAGGTATCTGTGCAGCGCGAGAACCTGTATGGGAAGAAAGCCACACCCAAACCGGCCAAGGCCGCTCCGGTCAAGACCGAGGACGCCGAGAAGGAGAAGGAGATGAAGCGGATCCGGCAGGAACTGGAAAAGGAGGTAAAACAAGCCGCCAAGGAGGGCCAACAGGGCAGACGCAGCCTTACTCGACGACTCACCCGCAAACTTACCACCATCGGCAATACAATGAGTGTACAAGAACAACTCAACTTACTTGCCGATGTCAAAAAGGAAGCCGGCTCTATCGAAATGGATGATGAAGCAATCAACCAATATACCGCCACAGAAAACGCTGCCGCTGCCGCCAGGGAGATTGCCAAGAAGGTCTTGAAGAAGAAAGCACCAGTCGGCAAAACTCTCGCCATGAAGCCACCCTGATTCCGAGATCGCTCGCCCTTTGGGAAGCTGCCCCTTGGGAAGCTGCCCTGCTGGAAGCTGCCCTACCAGGTTGCCCTACGCAACTGCCCTGCGGGGTTGCCCTACGGGATTGCCCCACTGAACTGCCCTATGGGGTTCTCCTGACATTTTCTCCTTCTGTTGTTCCAAACTCTGTTGTTCCAAACTCTTTATTTCTTGCGGCTTGACTACCGGTCGTGCACAATTGGGTGGGAAAGCCGATGAGAGGGAAAGCCGATGAGAAGGGTGGCTGCCAGCTTAGAGTGTGTTTGTGAAAGACACGGCGTTACCGCTATCTTTTTGACAGTCAAATAAAAGACAGCAGACATTTACAGACGACAAAACTTCCAAACCATGAAGTTCTTGACGTTGCTAAGTGTGTGGTCTGCTGCTGCTGCTGTTGCTGTTGCTGCTGCTGCTGTGTCTGTGACAACGACAGCGCCTAAGCCTGGAGTCCATGAATCGCAGGTTAAAGGTAATGACAATTTGAGTTCATTAAATAGGAGAAAGGAGGTGGGCATAAAGACCCGTGCCACTACATTGAAGTCAGCTGCGAGAAGCTTGCCTATAACTGACAATGAAGGTACGACAACTGACAGTGATATAGAGGAAGAGTATGTCGTGGGGCCCGTAGAGTCGAAAATCGCGAGGTTCTTCGGGTTCGATCTTGAAGCGGATGACCAGGCAGGCGAGCGGGCCGTGCAGCAACTTGCATCCAGTCCCACCACATGTGCCTCCTACAAGAAGTGTACTAAGTGCGTGGACGTGGATGTATGCAACTGGTGTGATGCTACGAGCACGTGCCATGCGAACAGTGATCCTGATCCGAAGTGTCTGACCAAGAAACAATGGATAAGTAGCAAGTGGAAGTGCCCTGGACATCTCAGGTGGTGGGGTGTGCTCCTGATTTGTCTCGCATGCGTTTGTTGTTGCCCCCTGATTTCAGCACTGTGCTTCTTCTTTGTCATCAAGAAGTTCTGCTGCGGTGATTAGAGAAGACCGAAGAAAAGACAGAAGTTAGAAAGGTACACAAGAATAATAATAGAGCAAGATCGTAATACGATTTTTTTGGGTATCACCAATGGTATCATTAAGCGTTGGGGTGGAGAGCGTTTGTTTAATTTGGGAGTTATGCAATCGGGGAGGAAGGAACAAATTCGTTTGAGGGAGCTAGCTAGTGCCGCGGAGCACAACCGGCCCACGGTGCAGCGGCTGACTGAAGAACCAAGCGGCGGGGCAGGAGACTGGCTTATGGTTGTCGTAAGCGCGCGATGCTGACGCCAGAGTGTAAGAATGAAGTGCCAGCAAACGAGTACCAGGGTGTGACGTTCATTCTGGGGAGGTCATATCGCTAAACATGCGGCGGCAATTGATTGAAATGGCGGGCACTGACGCGTCGTTCGGGATCTGGCAGCCCGATATGGTGTCTGTTTCGTCGCGAAGGATTTGCAACCAGTACAGCTTGTAGCTGGAGTGCGTCAACCAGCCAGTCCGGACCACTTTGTCCGGATTGTTGGGAGAGGGGGGGGGCTTAGAGTGTGTGTGAAAGACACGGCGTTACCGCCATCTTTTTGACAGTCAAATAAAAGACAGCAGACATTTACAGACAACAAACATTTACAAACCATGAAGTTCTGGGCGTTGCTGGGTGTGTGGTCTGCTGCTGCTGCTGCTGCTGCTGCTGTGTCTGTGGCAACGGCTGCGTCGAAGCCTGGAGTCCATGAATTGGAGATTAAAGAAGGTGATAATTTGAGTTCATTAAATAGGAGAAAGGCGGCGGGCATAAAGCCCCGCGCCACTAGATTGAAGCCAGCTGCGAGCTTGCCTATAACTGACAATGAAGGCACAACAACTGACAGCGATATAGAGGAAGAGTATGTCGTGGGGCCCGTAGAGTCGAAAATCGCGAGGTTCTTCGGGTTCGATCTGGAAGCAGATGACCAGGCAGGCGAGCGAGACGTGCAGCAGCTTGCTTCCACTCCCACCACATGTGCCTCCTACAAGAAGTGTACTAAGTGCGTGGACGTGGATGTATGCAACTGGTGTGATGCTACGAGCACGTGCCATGCGAACAGTGATCCTGATCCGAAGTGTCTGACCAAGAAACAATGGATAAGTAGCAAGTGGAAGTGCCCTGGACATCTCAGGTGGTGGGGTGTGCTCCTGATCTGTCTCGCATGCGTTTGTTGTTGCCCCCTGATTTCAGCACTGTGCTTCTTCTTTGTCATCAAGAAGTTCTGCTGCGGTGATTAGAGAATACCGCAGTGAAGAGCGGGCAGCGAGAAGATTAATATGAATTTTTTTGGTATCATCAATGGTATCATAAATCATTGGGGTGAAGACTGTTTGTTAAGTTCGGTAGGGAACAGAGTCGTTTGATAGGAAGGGAGGGTATCTGTCTGTTCTTCAACTTCAGTTACCGTGCCTGACAAGTGTGCTAAACAAGTGTATGGGTTTGGTAGCGAGGGTGGTTGCAGCCGGATGCCTCACTGCCCAGTGCCTCGCTGCCGTGGGCCTGAAGGCAGTGGAGTTTGAGAATGCAGCTGTGGTCATGGGGAGCGATGGCTTATCGCAGATAGCGACTGGCATTAGAAGTGGGACTACTAACTTGGTCTACGTGAACTTCACTCACCATGGCTCCTCATTCTTCACCAGTCTACCGGCAAGTGACGAACAACAAATCGTAGACTGTAACCAGCACGCTTGCCTCGAACCGCCCTTCGTTTCACTCGTCGTCCTTTGTTTTACTCCTCGTCCGTTGTTATACTCGCCGCCCCTTGGTTTGCTCCTTGTTATCACTTCGCTATGCGTCAGACCTCGCTGAGACCCTGCTGTACCCGCTGCTATCGTTATACACTAGCGACCCAAACTTTATCACCGATATCAGTAACGATTCAACACGCTCTCCTCATTACACAAGCCCCCCCCCCCTTGCACAACACTCCCCTCTTGCACAACACTCCCCCCTTGCACAACACTCCCCCTAGCAATACACAAGCTGCAAAAGATACCGGCCGCTCTAAAGCTACCGATCCAAAACTGCACACCCTGTCCCATTGTCAAACCTACAGTATTCATGGATCCAAGTTGGTGCGACTTCCTGAACTTGGGTTACCTGGACATGTCCAAGATGAAATGCAAATCGACGAATACTCTGATGGGGCGTTTCATCAAGTGGATCCCGGAGTGGCTCCGAACAGTCTTGTTTCATAAGGTGGGAATTCGCGCCTTCACGCCGGTCGAGGAAGTGGTGAGGATCGTGACGGAAGGCGACACGGGAGCGGCCAAGAGGCAGTACCCGTTGCCCGTGGTCCCGAAGCAGGTTAAGGCCTCAGGCCTCTTGTACCGCGGGGGCTTGTAGCGGGCGCTTGTCCTGAGGTACCCCACATTGTGGGGATGGCCACCTGTGGGGCGGAGCATGTTGGGAGGTTTTACCGAGCCGAATGTCCCAATGAACCTTTTGCCGTACGGAGCTGATCGAAACGTTCGGTGCTCCTTCCACCCAAGTGTGGCGACTCTTCTGAAGCCCAACAACAATGGGGTCACCTTCAAGTACCCGCCCGACGGACCTCACCAAAACTTCAGCAATCAGTAGGCTATATGTCACCCCCCTATCGTGTTGCAGCCATCACGCAAAGTTCATCCCATCTGTTCCATCCCATCTGTTTCATCCCGTCTGTTTCATCCCGTATGCTTCATCCCGTCTGTTTCATCCCGTATGCTTCAACGTGCATTGTTTAGAGGAATCGCGCACTTTGCGAAAATGCTCGTTCCTGATTCGTGTGTGGATTATTTGGCTATTCTGTGGAACACGACTTTGGATGAAGGTTGCAGTGTAAGACTTGCTGATGATTGTGTGGTTACCTGTTCGCCGCCTGGTTCCCATTTTCCAGGTACGGAAGATCGGGTATTGTGTATCAGGACCCAGTCGTTTGACACACTTGTTTGCCGTGCGAAGGAGGTCATTATGGCTTGCGTATTGCTTCGAGGTAGCAGCCACCGACCGTTGGGTGAAAAAGGCAGAGAGCAAGGTCTGGAAAAGCAAACTTTGGATGGACGTGCGGGGATAAGGTTGGCCGTGCCCCGGAAGGTTGTGGGTACAGTCATCGGAAAGGGCGGTAGCCATATCCAGACACTGAGACAGTCCACGCAGGCCGTGATCCACATTTCCCCCCTTTTCGTCACATCAGAGTACGCCTGCAGCGAACGCGTTATCTCCATCTCAGCCAACCTGGGCGAATTCGATGCCTTACAGCAAGCCACCTTGACACTACTCAAAATGGTCAACAAACACCCGGAAAGAGCAAGCTGCCAACGCACGATATACAAAAGACACGAATAGGACATAACCCACCAACTGCAGGTCGGTTCTGGAGCAACCGCGGGCGGTTGTTCAGGATGAGTGGAATTTCGTGGCTGGAAGGAACCCCATGGGTGGAACTTCATGGGTGGAACCCCCGCATGGGGGAAACCGCCGCATGGGTGGAAACCACCACATGGATGGAAACCGCCGCATGGGTGGAACCGCCGCATGGGTGGAGCCCTGCCGCGGGCAATTGCTAGCCCGCAGAAGATTGTTAGTTCGCGCAGGGAGGATGCTCACCCGTAAAGGATTGCTTCATACACGAAGACGCTACACGAAGACGCTACATGTGTAGACAAAGACTGCCTCGTCGCGCTGAAATATAGGCGCCACACGCGACCCTAGCCACGACCAATCGCTTGGGTCGTTCCTTCAAGCCATCTTGTTCGTCTTGACTCAAGACGGACAGCTGAGGACGACTGCCCAAAGCGATACGGTTCGGACGAACCTTGTGTGTAATCTTATATAGCTTTTAAAGACCCTCCTCCTTTTCACTCTTGATGACTTCTAGAGCCGCAGCCGCGGTGCACTCGTTTATGTACGCCACTCGGTCGTGGTTGGTCACCAGAAAGTGCTTGTCTGCGATCTCCGCCAACTCAGGCCTGAACGTTGTAATGATGTATTGGCTACCACTCGCCTTCAACCTAAGTAGACAGCGAGAGTCAAGGGGGTAGGGGGTAGGGAAGAGGAAGGGGGTAGGGAAGAGGAAGGGTAGGGAAGAAGAAAGTATCTATCTCTGCGTACATTTCTGCGACGTTTTTCCTGAAGGTTTGGTCCAGGGCTGCGTCTGCTTCATCCAGAATATATAAAGGTGCGGGTTCGTATCGCTGCAGTGCCATGACTAGACAGAGGGCAACAATCGTTTTCTGTCCGCCACTCAAGCTCACTAGAGGCAAGGGTTCCACAGCGGGTTGGAAGGAGGCCTTGATCTGCAAGCCCACCACTTGGTCTGGCGACTCAACACTTTGTCCGTCCACACCAGCCCGCCCGGCATTGAAGGTTTCAGAGGAATGATAGGGTTGTCCAGACCTTTCCTCATGTTGTGGGCTGTCACCATCTTCCAGCATCAGGAGTTCTGACGGGTCAGTCCCTGGAGCTGCAGTAACCAAATGTAGTTCCGCAAACCCTGCGGGAACAATTGCTTTAAAGATTTCGCCCAGATTCTGGTTCACCTTGTGGAAGCAAGTGGTCAGTATGTCGAGTCGACGCCGGTTCAAGGTGTCAATTAGCTTCTCCAGCTTCTGCATGCTATCGACCAGCGCCTGCTTTCTCTCACTGGTCTCCTTGTAGTCTGTAATGTAGAGCTCAAGGTCACTGACCGCCTGGTCATTTAACTGACCCATGGAATCGATTTCTTTTTCGATTCGGCGCTGCTCGATCACCAACCACTTATGCACCGCCGCTTGGTGCTGTTCCTCCGCGTCGCCTTCCGGCCGTCTACTGACCTGGCGGTCATTCTCATCAGCCGAGACGTCCTCACTATTATCAGGCGACATGTCATTTCTCAGCCTCTTGGCGGGTAACTGCTTGGTCACTGACTGTTTGGCTTTTGAATCCTTGTTCGAACGCCGTTGGTTTCCTTGCTTCCGTTCCCTTGCGTTACCTTGCAGCTCCGACTGCGGGGGATGTACTCTGCCTGGCGCGGGGAATGTGGTCTCAATGGTCCTCTCCAACTCTTCAAAGTTCTTTCGAATGTCCGGGTTTGATAGGAGAGACCTTTTTTCCTGCATCAGGTTCTGAGCAGATTCCAAAGTCTTCTTTAGTTCAGATTGAATATTTTCTGCTTGCAACAATACCAGGTCGTACTCTCTGCTAATACCTTGACGCTTCTTGACTGCTGTGTCATGAGCATTTTCTATACTAACTATCTGTTCTCGAAGTTCCTGAATTTCTTTCGTTAGCCGCTCTTTCGTACACTCCAAAGCTTTCACCGCCGTTTCTTCGGTTGCATACTCCCGCAGAGCATCTTGGTACGCATCTTCAGCCTGCCGAAGATCCTCCGCCAGGTCCACAGCTTTGCCCGACGCCGTGACGGAGGATGCACCGCCAATTGAAGAAGCTCCCGCCACCGAAGCCCTTAGACTAGCTATCGATGAATTGACATCTGCCAACTCATCTTGAATTCGCAATTTTTGGGAATAGAGTTCTTTACTCTCCCTCTCTAATTGTTCTACTCGAGCCAACTGCTCGCTCAGCTCTTGCTCGCTTGCCATACTCCCGTCGCCACTCTTCATCTCCACCAACAGCTCCTGAAATGATTTAATTGTAATCTCTGATTGAGATATATTGGCCGCCAAATCTTTTAATTCCTCTTCGATTAGATCTAATCTATTCTGTTGCTTTTTCTTTTTGGCCTCGATGGTATCGGACTCTTTCTGCTTTACCGAAATTTCATCCAGCGCACTTTGTGCGCGTGCAATTTCTTTTTGCAGCACACGTTTGCGATCGTCATTTTTTTGGCTTTGAATGATCTCGAAGCAATGCTGTCGTATTCTGGATCCGAATTCCATGACGTTAACGACGTTTGACCGGTATCCGCCGGTTACAGTTCCCTTTCGAGATATCAGGATCCCATCTAGCGTAACGCAGTCGTAAGAATTAGCCAGCTTCCTCCCCGTGGCAGCATCTTTAACAATAAGATAACGTGAGGCGACTTGCTTGTAGAGGCAGTCAAGTTCCATGCTTACTGACGCTTGCTGTCCGGTGTCGGCTCCTTCCAGTCCTTCCTGGGTTCCAGGGGGTAGCATACAGGATAGCAAAGGTATGGCATCATAATCGCCGAAGTCCGTTAGCTTTTCGATCTCGCCACTAGGACTGATTCCGCCAACAAGCCTCCGGTCGAATGAGATAGGTTGGTTCTGATAACGCTCCTTCATCTGTTCATATGGAGTCAAAGTTAGATTTGTATTTATTCCACTATGTTTAAGCACCCTGCTCAGTTGGCTGGCAACAGAGTCATTCTTGACAATCAGGGTATCGAGCTGATTGTTCAAAGCAGCGCAAAGCGCTACTTGGAATTGCTTATGAGTCGGCTCTATCAGCATCCATAACGGCCCGAGTAGATCCGGAATGGCGGGACGCATTTCATAGGAATCAGGATGGTATAGCCACTTGGTTGTATTATCATAACACTGCCTGAGGAACTCACCAGCGGTGCATCGGGCATTCCTAACTAGAACACCATACGCTTTTTGGACACCTGGGCGATAGAGTTTGTATATCTTCTCATACTGCTTTTCTACAAGATCATAAGTATTGGACCCACTGAAGTTATCAGTGTGACTAAGTTGCGTAAGATCCAATTTGAGTTGATGCAGTTCTTCTTTGCATTTCATAGCAGACTGATGAAGGTCATTGCTACTACTATGGCTCTGATGAACCAATTTCATGAGCTCGCTCCTTTCCCCTTGCAAGCTCTTTTGACGAGCACTCCACTGACGAATATGTTCTTCATGACTAGGAATAATGTTGTCTCGTATGTCATTTTCACGTTCTTTGGAACCAGTAAGCCTCTTGTATTGATCTCGCTTTATTTCGCAACGGTCTAAAGCCGTTCTGACAGAGAACTCCTGGGCCTCGACCTCACGCAATTGTTTCGTCAACTCTGCCCTCTGCGGTTCCAACACCTTCGACAGACGTTCCGACAACCGTCGCTGCTTCTCCATTTGCTTTACCAATGTCTCTTTCCTTAAACCCTTCTCCAACAATCGCTTCTTCTTCAACTGCAGCTGTCCGGGGTCTACTCGAATACGGTCTGCCTCAACGGTTTTCCCAGCCAGCACAATCCGCAAGTCATCCAACTCGTTCTCTACGTCTACACCTTCTTCTAGCTGGTCTGATAAAACGCGGCGGGATTCTTCCAAACCGTCGAGCTTGCTCTGCAACTTCTCCGCTGGAATACACACTAGATCAGAGTCGAAAATGTAGCCGCCTCCTTTCATCTCACCAGTGGTCATGTCGTCCTCACCAGTGGTCATGTCGTTCTCACCAGTGGTCATGTCGCCCTCAACGGTGGTCATGTCGCCCTCTCGCTGACCCCTTTTACTCGGTTGGCCAAAGTCACTCGTTATTTGTACACCATTTTGCATCGTAGATTGTATGTCGCCAGGCGGCGGTGCGATAGTAGACCCCTCTCTTGTCCCTCCCCCCCCCTCGCCCCCGTAGCCCCTTCTTTCCCCTTGTGCTCTTGTGGAAAAATTGGTTTTCTTGAACATCCTATACATCTTGACTAGTAACTGTAGACAGTCGAGGTCCTTGTTCATTTTCTCCTTGCGCTTAAGGCTTTCTCTTTGCTCCAGCAGGTTGCCCAGCTTCTTGTCGATGAGTTCGAAGTTTAGCTCGCGCATCTTCAACTTGAGGTTAGAGAGCTCTGTCAATGCCTCATTCCGCTTCTCTTCGTACACTCCTATGCCGCTGAGATTTTTCACGAGCCTGAGCCTGGACTCCTCACTCATCGTGGCCATCTCGACGATTCTACCCTGTCGGATTATGTAGTACGGATTGTTACGAGAAAACCCTGCGGCCATTAGCAGGCTCGTGAACTGACCCTTCGTACACTTTTTGCCATCCAGGTAGTATACGTCTTGGGACTTACTCGAGAGCGAGAAAATCCGCTTAAAGCAAACCTCATCCGAACGAACCTGAAAGGCGCAATCGTGGCTGAGCAAAGGAAGAGAGCGTAGCTGACCTTCACCTGTCCATTGCCTTTGTGGGGATTATCCACCACCCGGGAATTACCACCGTCCGGGAAGTACTACCGTTTGGGATATGCCACCGTAACCAATCCAGTCCGGCCTCGGCACACCAGTCGGGTTAGTACTTCCGGCGGGGTTCTGGCACATCCGGCGGGATTCTGGCATATATTGACAGGAGTCATCCAAAGAGCGAAACGCACGTGCATGCGCACCAGTGCACCACGGACGGTACATGACACACGCACCATCGTGATGCACCCTCGTGATCCGGGATGCGTTTCCGATCCATGTACGGACATGTAGCTGCACAGTTTGGTCATAGAGGTGAACATCGTAGACACTTATCTGAAATGAACTTACGGTCGGCAACTTTCTATCCAGGTTCTCGAAACACAATTCTACATGGCCAACGACAGCCTGGTACTTGGGTCCTTTCTACAATTAAAAGAACTATCTCGAGTGATAGCTACGCTACCCCGTTCGTTGATCGAGTCGTCCTCAGGACAAATCGATCCCGGCATCAATCGACCCCGGGTTCAAATCACCGAGGGTGTCACCTACATGCAGAATGCTCTTCGCCTCGGCGTGTCGTTTGCCCGTACTACTGGCTTCAGATAGAATTAGCGATATTGCATCCACAATGGTACTCTTGCCAGATCCATTCAGACCAACTAAAGGGCAGTGGGTTCAAACCTTACCCTAACTCCAGTTCTGGCCCTAATCTTTGGTCCAAATCTTTGGTGCTTACCGATGCAGTTGATGCGACTATGGAACTCCGTTCTTGTTAGTTCATTATACCCCTTGAAACCCCGAAGTTCCACCCACTTTAAACGCATTGAAAAGGGGGCTTATGGAAATCGAAGGTCTGGTACGAATTTCGTCTCGTACACTATTTTCAGTGGTTTGGCAGATGACGGAGGTATGTAAGGGGGGGGGGGGGGTGTCATGTTGGGATGGGTGAGGACGCACTGGGGTGGTGACCAAGAGATCACAGTGGGGATGAGTATCAAAGGCGCTTCGTCGGATCGTGTTACCCCGTCCCCGGGGGCTGGACTGGAAGGAAGGAAGGAGGGGGGGGGGAGGCATGCATTCAGTTGATGAGTTCTTGCAGACCACATCTCGATGGATGAGACAGAGCAGTTCTGCCAAGGTGATAATCATCTTGATGGCGCTGCTATCCCTGTTTTCAGGAGTGATGCAGACGCTGGTGCTAAAGTGGCAGAACCGGATGCGAGTTCTTTCGTGTACTCGAGACCCGGTGACAGGTCTGTCCACCTGTACCGAGAAGTATTTCCATCAGGCTTTCATCCAGACCTTCGTGATGTTCCTTGGAGAATGTCTGGCGGTGCCGTTTATCCTCCTTTCTAACAAGAGTTCCACCGGGACGCGTGACGATTTTCGCACGGAGGTTTTATCCAGAGAAGCCGAACAGAGTACCCGCCTCACATCCCCCGACACCTCCCCAAATCACCGTTCACATCAACACGGGGACCGGGTGGCTTATCGGGACAGGATCTCTCACGGAAACACAGGGCGTCCACGGGGTCCGCAATCGGCGATGGAGAACGTGGAGCTGGTGGGTGGTCGGCAATCGCCGTGGAATCCGACGGTGGCGGATTTGAAGCAGGATTTTGTTCGCGGATTTCCGTTATCACATTCTTTTTCGTTAGATCCTGAAGACGTACGGTCGTTGGATGCGCGTTCACTGGAGACGAGTGGGGGAGGTTTACGGACAGGTTTGCCGGCACGGCGTGAAGCTCCGTTGTGGTGGTGGATGACTCCTGCGCCGTTGGATTTCTGTGAATGTGCGTTAGGTTGCATAGCGGTGACAATAACGTATGCATCAACGGTTCAGATGTTGCATAATTTTATGGTAATTTGCAGTGCGGTCTTTACGATCTTGATTCTGAGGTACCCGCTGCGTGTGCACGAGTGGTTGGGATCTTTGGTGGTGACGGTGGCGTTGATATTATGTGGCATCCCCGCATTACGAAACCCAGAAGAGGCGACGGAGGTGCACAGCGATTATCAATGGTTGGGTATTTTGTTGGCTTTAGTGAGCACGTGTGTGCACTCGTTGCAAAATATTTGGGAAGAGGCATTGTTCCGAAAGTGTGATGTGGATGCAACCGTGGCTATTGGTTTGGAGGGTTTGACGGGTGCAATTATATCGGGAGCGGCGCTGCCAGTAGTGCAGTGGACGGGTTACGAGCACACGCGTGAAGGTGCCCGCCAACTGATCGAGTCCTCGCAATTGCGTTGGGGTTGTGTGCTCTTCGGCATCTCCTCCCTACTCAACAACCTCTGCGGCATCGCCGTCACGCGCTGGGCCAACGGACTGCTGCGCTGCCTCTTTATGTCACTCAGACCGCCCATGGTCTGGCTCTGCGAAATGTATCTCAGTTGGAATACATTCGACTGGTACAACTTCGCCTCCATGTTCGTACTCGCCGCCGGACTCTTCATCTACATGCTCCTCCCGCCCCTTGACCGATTCGGTGGCGATGCATTCCTCACACCCGTCACCTTCGGCATCCAATCCTGGTGGCGCGAACAACCCACGGCTAACCCGCCGTTCGCGGAACTCTCCAACACCGAGCGACCCGAGACAGGACTCGTCAACCCCCAGTCACCATACGTGCCCTACGAAGGCGACGAACGAGATGGCATCGCCTACGGAGGCCACGACGCCCACAAACCAACACCCATGACCTCCACACCCGTCGTGTGAGCTATGAGCAATCGGACTCCCATACCCCCGGCCTCACCTACGGCCGCCGCAGCTGTGGCCGCGGCTCTGGGGCAAGTATGATTATAGACATTTTTTGGCCCGACCACACACGCGCGATCAGTCAGTACCGCCACAAGGACTTTGGGCTGTTGCTTCTTCGGGCCAAGGCGGGCTGCGGAACGCGACGACAAGCCCGGCCAGAAGACCCCGGGGAAGGACGATTTTACGCGTCGAAATTATTATGGGGCAGAATGCAAAGGTTACCCGCTACGGGTCGCATGTGGTGAAGAAGAAGGCGAAGAAAGGCGAGACACAGAATGCCAACGAAGGGAGGCGGAAGCTGCGCTCGGTTTTGAAAGAAGCCAAGAAACGGCTGCGTGAGGAACAGGCAGTTGGGTCGTCCGCGGCGAGCGATAAGCCGCGGAAGCCGCCAGCTGGAAGATCTGATACTAAGTAGTGGATACTAAGTACTTAATGACGATTGCCTCAGAATAACTGCAGTCCAGAATCCCAGAATAACCAAGGCCCCAGAATAAGGAGTAGTTTGCATTGGTCTAGGTGCAATTTTTTATGACCCTAACACTCAGTAATATAGATTACAACATCAGTCCCAAGTTCCGCGCCGGGGTGTTAGGCGGAACGGGCACAGTTGGACAGAACTTGGTCTTGCTGCTGGCGAACCATCCATGGATCACCGTGGTCGCCATTGGAGCATCCGAACGGAATGCGGGCAAACGGTATCAAGACGTTTGGCGCAACTGCAGACCTTGTCCCGAGGTGGTGAAAGATATCGTCCTTTGGGACGCCCTCCAGGACAAAAAGAAGTTTATTACTGGCGACCTGTAAGACCCTTCCTATCGAATCAATCCCAATTTCAATGTTCCCCAATAAATGGTTTCCTTAATCCGTTTCCGTACAGAGATCTGGTATTTTCCGCCTTGGATTCGGAGCTGGCCGTCCAAGTGGAGAGTGATCTGGCAGCGTCAGGGTTAGCTGTGTTTTCTAATGCATCGAGCCACCGCGGCGACATCGACGTGCCTATTGTATTGCCCTTGGTAAACCCAGGACATTTAGAGCTTGTTAAAATTCAGAGATTTTATGCCAAGTCCGGAGGCTACATTGTTACTAACTCGAACTGTTCTACCGCTGGTTTTGTCACGGCATTAAAGGCGCTGCAAGACGCATTTGGAGTCGACAGCGCTATCTGTACTACTATGCAAGCAGTCTCCGGCGCGGGGAACCCTGGTCCTCACTGGAACCAGATAGACAGTAATGTTGTTCCTTATATACCCGGAGAAGAAGAAAAGATTGAAAATGAAACGAAAAAAATACTCGGCAAATTGCCGGTCTCCGCTGAGCAGGCACCTGCGCTCGATGCACACACGTGTGCGGCGGAAAAAAATACTGGGAAAGAGACAGACGGGTCGACGTCCGTAGAGCACCAGGACGAACGACCACCGCTATCTGATGCCTCGTCGTCAACTAGCGGCCGAGGAACGGTTTGTGCCGTATACGGGAAAATTCATGGTATCATACCAAACGATCAAATCAGGATATCAGCCTCTGTAAATCGAGTTCCTGTGGTGGATGGACACACCATGTCGGTGTCTGTAAAGCTTACTAAGCCGCCGTTAGATGAAAACATGAAGCTGAATACATCCGCTATAGAAGAGGCCTTCGAGAACTTTACGTTCAGCATACCCGACATGGATAAATTGCCAGTAATTCCTAGCAAATTTATACAAGTGTTTAGGAGCTTGGATGAGCCTCAGCCCAAGTTCCATTCGCAGATCGGAAACGGAATGACGGTTTCAATCGGGAAGGTTCGTGCTTGTAGCGTCCTTGATGTTAAATTCACTTTGGTCGTAAACAATGCCATCCTGGGCGCCGCAGGAGGGGCTGTTGCTAACGCTGAACTAGCCATTGCTAGTAGGATTCTGTTATAACCCAGCTTCGAACCTGAGCTGGGCTGTCTATGGTTGAGCCGGATACAACTCGAAACACCAATTCCCAGAGGGAGAACCTCCTTTGGAGAGATGGTTTATTGCGTTCAACCAACTAGCCCAATTATATTACCATAAAATATTTCAAATGTTCACGTCAACACCTTTCAGAACCGCGCTTTTTGAAGCATCACAAATGTTTCCCCCGGAAATCATCTCGTCTAGGATGTAGTGTGCTTTCTCAAGATTAAACATGATCTAAAGAAAAGGTCAATTTTGAATTATATGAGAGCACGCGCGTTCCCCACACGTGTGTTCACAAATAACCCCGCGATTTGCACTTACATCAAGCTCACAGACATTCTCAAAGTAGCGGTCAAACGTTTCGACTAAGCAGTGTATGAATTCCAGGATGCTAAGCTCATTCTGAACAGCGAAGTGGCAGTTTTTTGTTCGGTACAGCCTACTCTTCTGGGGGACAGTGTGAGCAGGGAGCAAGCTGGAGGGGAGGGAGAGGGAAGGGGGGAGGTGGCGGGCTGGAACCGGAAAACATACGACTTCATTTTGGTCGACTCCAAAGATGAAGTACAGAGAGGCGTATCTTCTGTAGATGACCCGTAGGTTATTGTCCAGCAGTATAAAGTTACATTCTTCGTCTGTTCGGCTGAGGCAGACGCGGACAAGTTCCGACTCAAAAGCGACTTTAGTGCGGGGGTCTTCGCATTCGGGTATGTCCTGGTCGTAGTAATGGGAGAGACGGGTCTGTCCCAGCTTATTAACGAGTAGCACAAAACGAATCATATTTTTGAAGGGAAATGGTTGTGGAGACTACAGCAGCACAGGAGCCGGATGTGAGCGAGGAGCCCAGACGGCCGCCTTACGCCGAGCTATTGGACCCAAGTGTGTTCTCACCTGATCGTGATGGCAAGTGGCAGAGCAAGTTGGAGGGTTATGTATTGACGGCGTACAATTTATGTTTATCTCCGGATGAGAAGGCGGAGGTGGGGGACCTTAGCCCTAGTCGGTTGGGTGGCCGACAAGTTTCGATTAACAGTCCGCGTAGTATAGGAAGTGGCGTGAGTCCGGTGAGTGAGAACATGCGCCATCATGACTTGGACCATGTTGGTTTCCGTGACCCGTTATTGAAGGACATACTAGTTCTAAAGACAGCCTGTATGGAGACTATTGGGGCGCATGTACCCGAAGATGATTTCAAGACATTGCTGAATATCCAGCGACTTGCATACAGGTACTACGCCCAGCAGACGGAGCAGAATTTGAGTGTATTGAGTGATGGAATCCGCGAACTGACAGCTGTCCAGTTGGAGTTAGTGGTGCGTACATCAATGATGATGTGCCAGATAGTTAACTTTGCCGAAGCGGCGCATCGTGTACGACGTAGAAGAGTTATGGAGCGCGCTCTGGCGAATCACAGCCAAGAAATTAGTCAGGAAGCCCCTATTGTGCGGGACTACACTCGTTTTGACTTAAGTGTGTGGGGTGTGTTTGCGAAGCTTCAGGGAGCCGGTTACACTCCGGGTCAGATCCATGAAGCCCTGAGTCGGCAGCAAGTGGAGTTGGTCCTGACTGCGCACCCTACAGAGGCGATGCGGGAGGCCATGCTGGTCGCACTTCGGAGAATCACTGAGACGATTTTGAAGCTTGATACTCCGGACTTAACACCGACTGAAGTCGAGGAGGCGCGGGCGAGTCTGAAGCGACAGATCGAGGTATTGTGGGAGTGTGATCCGCTCCGACGTACGCGTCCTACTGCCTACAGCGAGGCGACATCGATAGCGAATATTGTGGAAGATGTTTTATTTAGCGCCGTCGCCAAGTTCCTTCGCTTCATGGACCAACGTATGGCGGAGATTGGACAACCAGGCATCCCTGTGGACGCACGTCCCGTGAAGATCTGCAGTTGGGCCGGTGGCGACCGGGATGGCAACCCGTATGTGACACATCGTCTGACGACACAAGTCGTGACAGCAAATTATATCCGGGGTTGCACACTGATGTTGCACAAATTAGAAGGACTGTTTTCTGCAGTCCCACTCGTAAGTTGCTCCGACCAGTTCAGGGAGCTGGTTGAGACCCGTATTCCGGCCGAGAAGACAAATCTGTTTGACGTTACACAGATGCGTTTCCGAGCACAGATTAACCCGCCTCATCGTAACGAGTTTTATCGGCGGTGGTTGTGTTATGTACGAAGCAAACTTGCCTCCACCCTGGAGTACTACCAGACTCTGGCCAGCGAGCTCAAGGAAGTTGACCACGTCCTGCCTGTCGCTAGGCCGTGGCGCTACGAGCGGTATTGCACGGCGCAGGAGCTATTTAACGACCTAAAACAAATCTACGACAGTTGTCTCACTACAGGCGATGAACTTATTGCGGAGGGCGAGCTAAAAGACTTACTTCGGCAAATCCAGGCCTTTGGACTTAATTTGGTCGCGCTGGACCTGCGACAGGAGGCAGACCGCCATCTGGGTTGTCTAATTGACGTCTGTGCGTTACTCGAACTAGGCGACTACGGGGCGAAGACGGAGTTGGAGAAACAGCAGTTTCTGACAAGTCTGTTGTGTTCGAAACGTGCGGTGCTACCGTGCTGGGCTATGGAGAAGCTGCCCACCTTGTCGGCCGAGGTATTACTCACAATCAAGGAGGCTTCTCGTTTCCCGCGCGAGGCGTTCGGCAGTTACATTATTTCCATGTGCGCAAACGCCAGCGACATTCTCGCAGTCGCCGTGCTGCAGCGCGAATTCATTGAGCCCTGCAACATGCTCCGCATCGTGCCCTTGCTCGAGACGGTGGAGGCGCTGCAAGAGTCGCCGCGCATTCTGCGGGACTTGTTCAGCAACCCCTACTACAGACGACTGATCAAGGAGCACATGGAGGATGTACAGGAAATTATGATCGGTTACTCGGACTCCAGCAAGGACGGAGGCAAGCTGACTTCCACATGGGAATTGTACAAGGTACAACTCGAGCTGTGCCGTGTCGCACGCGAATACGGTATTGGACTGAAGTTCTTCCACGGCCGTGGAGGCAGCGTGAGTCGCGGCGGTGGACCGCAGCAATTGGCCATTCTGTCGCAGCCGCCCGGCACTATTAATGGGCGATTCCGAGTTACAGTTCAAGGCGAAATTATCCACCAAAACTTCTGTTACATTGACACGGCCGTGCGCTCATTCGAACACTACGCCACCGCCGTTCTGGACCATGACCTGTCGAAGGACGAAAACCGCGGTGGCCACACCAGCGACTGGGCATTACTGGAGGAGATCAGCAAGTCCAGCATGAAGCGCTACCGCTCAGTAGTTTATGAGCACCCCCGATTCATCGACTATTTCCGGTCCGCCACGCCGGAAAGAGAACTGGGCCAGCTCAATATCGGTAGCAGACCCAGCAAACGCAAGGAAGGTGGTGTGGAAACACTCCGAGCCATTCCTTGGGTGTTTGCCTGGACCCAGAATCGCAGTCTCATGCCCGCCTGGCTTGGTCTTGGTTCGGCCCTGAAGGAGTACTTAGCACAAAGAAATAACTTCGACAGGATTGCCGAACTGTACAAGTCCTGGCCCTTCTTCAGAAGCTACGTAGATCTCGTCTCTATGACCCTCGCAAAAAGCAGTCCAGATATTGCCAAGTACTACGACGATCACTTGGTCCAAGACCAGGAACTTCTGCAGCTAGGAAACGACATCCGCGAAGAAATGCACACCACACACCAAATGCTGCTTATGGTCACCGGCGAGAAACGTTACCTGGATAACGACCTTCTCACTCAACGCGCCCTCGATGTGCGCATGCCCTGGATTGCCCCTGCGAACATTGTCCAGGTAGAAGTGTTACGAAGAATTAGAGAGACTCCGGAAGACGATGAAGAGCGTGCAGAACTGGAGAACGTCCTGCACATCAGTATCAAAGCCATCGCCTCGGGCATGCAGAACACCGGGTAGACGAGGTGCACTGATGAGGTGCTCAATCGAACTGATGAGATGCGTAATTGAATGGGGATTGGTTCCCGTCTGCACGGGAACCGATCCTCTGCTGGCCGGTACTGCTGGCCGGTGCTCACCTCATCCTCACCGGTGCTGTTTGAATGGGCTGGCGCCGTTTGAAGCGACGGAATCAGTTTGAACTTGTTTTAAATAGTATAAACGCAAACCTGAAGTTTCACGGTGGATCGGGGGCATCTGAGAGCTTGGTGGGGTTGGTTGTGAAAAAATAAAAGGAGGTGATAATATGGCATTGGCTGATGCGTTGGGAGTGACAGATGTGTCAGAATGGTTGGCAGCACGTGAGGCTGCTCGTGGTGAGGGGTTGAAGGGTACATGTTCAGCTCAGTGGACGACGCAGCAGGAGATAGCGTTTAAGTGTAGTGATTGTGAGGCGGACGGGTCGTGTGCGGTATGTGTTGATTGTTACTTCCGGAGTAGTCATGAGGGTCATGATTCCCGTATGATATTGGCGGGTGAAGGTTGTTGTGATTGTGGGGATATATCGTCGTGGAAGGTGGAGGGATGTTGTCCAGAACATCCGGGTTTGACGGAGGCGGTATATGGCGCTGGAGTGGCATTAGAGGAACAGAGTTTGGGATTGAGCGAGAAGGAGGCCTTAGTGGCCTATATGTTGCAGTTGAATGCGACCATGAGTTACGCATGGGAGAACCACTTCCTAGGCCGTTCGGAGATCCGATTGATAAACAGTCAGCTGAGCGATTTGCTTCCATTTATTGCTCGCAGTTTCTACGTGCGCCAGATCGTCGACCAAGTGGTTTTGTCACCATCGCTACTGCACGCCATCTGTATGGGCGACTCACTTGACTATCTAGTGGCAGAGGCCCTGCGCCAGGTCCTACTTGCCCTTGTGCCTGTCTTCACCTTCAAACGCCGCCTTGGAGAAACTATTCTCAAGGCCATGGCCACCCGACCCGGGGACCAACACCACTTTGTTAAAGCATTGTGTGACCATTATAGCTTCCGGGGACTCTACGTCCAGCTCTTCACCGTCAACCGGGTCTCAGACGACGCCCTCACCCAAGGCACCCTCGCACGAGTCCTTGCCAGCTTCGTTCGAGGCTGCGCCAATGACGCTAATAAAGCCATTTTCTATGGCCGTATTCTCTCCGGCGTGCTCCGCGATATCTTCACCTCCGCCACTCCGCAAATCGCCGCCGACTACCTTCTCAACAGCCCCACCTTCACCTGCTACCTCGCCTTATACCATGGAGTTGACCGGCAAAAAAGAAGAACCGCCCATGTAGAGTTCGAAGAGTCACACGACAAAATGTTCAACATTCAATTCCACCTCCTACAGGGACTTGGCCATATCTGCGACTACCATCAACAACGCTTGGACGCCAGCCTCTATGTACAACCGGCATACTTCATCACCCCAAGTCACTTGCTTCTCATGAACCATAACTTCATGTACCCCGACTCACGGAACCATGACTTACTCAACCATTTGCACCAATCTATGGCGCAGATGGAGAACACGACTGCACGGAAAAACGTGCGGGAACTGGTCAGCAGGTTCGAGACCTGTTGGTCGCAATTGAAAACGTTGACACAACTATCCCTCAAGAGCCACCGGCCGGGCGTAAGTTTCTTCCAACCGCTCTTTCACTTCGGCTATGGCATGATGCCTATTGACGATTTGCTCACCGCATGTATGTTCACAGTGTGCAATCTGGTACGTGGCGACCGAACCGCTCCTGACGACCCCAGTCGCAACCACTCAGGTCCTGGAGACCCGCCCAGCCCTGGTGGAGCTGTGGCTTCTTTACGGCTTTTGGTGCCGGTGCGGCTGCAGCCAGATTGCACGGCCGCATTGGCGGCGGTTTTGAGCAAGCCGTGGCAGGAGGCCAAGTGGAGCGGCCGTATGGGCGAGTGTTTGGATGAGTTTCTGGCGGTGCGAATGGCTATGATCCGGGGCATGGAGGCGAATTGCCCCGTGTACTTCGGCTCTCCTGAATCGCTGGAGATCTCTAGCTCCAGCTACTTGCTGCGACAGGGCATGCTGGAGATTACTAACACTGTGCTCCATACGTACGCGATCAACTCCCACTTTTGGAGAAGGAACGGCACCAGCATGCTGTCGCAGGCCGTGGGGTATTCGCTCGGCTTCTGGGGACTCCGTCACGACCTGACGGCCTTGCTGCTCATGATGGCGATACATCACACACTCGACCTCCGCCAGCGCCGTGGAGCGGCGGCCTCTCGCCCGATAGGTGGGTTCGGGCACGAGCACGCCGGCTCTTCGCCACGTAGTCATGCGGACGTGAGCATGGACACCCAATCACCTGAGGAAGGCGGCAAGACTGCGGAAGGCGGCGAGGGAGGGGCACCGAAGCAGGCGTTTGCGGAGCCGGTAGGGACGTGCTTGTCACCGTTGGTGTCGTGGGCATGCGAGGGGGCCCTGGAGACGACGAGTGAACGCGGCAAAATGATGGCGCGAACGGACTTCGTTCCCGAACACCCGTGTGCGTATTTGAGTCGGTTAGTGGAGCGTATTCAGAGTCAGTCAACGGTCGAGCGGGCAAGTGACTTGGAGCGGACAGTCAACCACGCAGCGGCTGACGGGAACCACTTCCGGTTGCTAAGTTTATGGCAGGTATTGGCATCAGTTTGCGACTGGGGAGTGAAGAACGTGGAGCTCTTCGCTGCGTCTTGTTACCCAGCCAAGAGGGAGTCGCTCGCGCATTGTCCACCCGCGGTGGCCGAGCGGCTGCTCGAAGTACATGCCGCGGAACTCGTGTGGAGCGTCGCCGGGAACAAAATGAAGTCGCATTCACCCTCCTGGGAACTGCCTTACCGTATCCCCGAGGCCCTCCTCACTGAGTACTGCAACGTTACCGGCGGCTACTATACTCTCAGCTCGCGCGGCCACCCTTTCTTGACCCGCCCCGGCCTGCAAGGCTTTCCTTCCGAACGCGGTGAAATCGAGAGCAAAATCAGCGAGTTTGCCGACACCGCTGGCATCGTCGGCGTGCCCTGGCACATCCTCAAGCGCGAAAGCGACAGTCCCTCCCCCACCAATCTGGATCCCTCCCCCGCCCGGCTTGGCGGAAACGCAGGTGGAAGCCCGCGTGGAAGCTCAGACAGTCGAGGCAGTCGCATGGCCATCGACACGCTGCCAGGCAAGATCCTCTTCTTCGGCGCTGTGCTGGAAGACGCAGGTCTCTACGACTTGTGTCTACTGACCCTGACGGCCCTGGCCGGTTACCAGTTTCTCACACCCGACCAGGTCATAAACGTCAAAGGCACTCAGACCCAAGCCGAGGTGCGCGACTGGGAGAAGTCTACCTTCGAAGAAATATTCGCCTCTGTCTGCGTCGCCATTGTCAACACTCTCGTGCCCAGGTGGACAGAGATAGTGGAAAGATCCGTGCGCCAAGAGGCGGAAACTTTGGCTGATCCTTTGGGGGAGTCTTCGCCACAAGCTTCTGGGGACGATGCGCGGTTGGTGTATGCAGAGGCGAAGAGGATTGAAGGCCAGGCGCGAGTGCTCTTGGCGAGAATCCGAGCGTGCAAGTTACGCGTGGCGGACTCGCTCATGTCCCGAGCGTTCAACGCCACTGTAGAACGGTTGGAGCCGCTCGTGGGCGTTCGGGAGCGACGGGATAGCGACCCCGGTCAGGCGGTCGCACACCGGGCTGCCGAGAAAGCGCGCGTTGCGAGCCTCAAACAAGGACAGCTCTTGGAACAGTTTAAGGCTAAACAGAGCCAGTTTTGGGACATGCTGGGCGAACTCAGCGAAAGCGACGAAGACGAGGAAGATGATTACGCACACGTGGAACATCCTCTGCTGACGGCATTACGACCCACGGTAACTAAAGATGACAAGACACGTATGGAACTGTATGTGCGCGGCACTCACACTTGTGTCGTCTGTCAACAGGGACCGAAACAGGACGACATGCTCCACATTTTCCTCAATGTCGAACTCTGCAACCTCCTACAAAGAATGGTCGTCGACCCTACTACCCATGACCTCCCCCTCTCAGGCACCTGCCTCGCCGAATTGGACATTCCCGCCAGGGCACCCGCGGCCACGTCTTGTGGCCACTGTGTCCACGCCAAATGCATAGAACTAAAGGTAAGCACGCAACGACACACCTACACATACCCAGCCGCTCTCTTGGCACTCACTTGGCGACAGGTGCAGAGCCTCACTCCGGGAACCTAAACGCGCAAATGCGCACCCTGGAACCAGAACGGAGCTGGGGGTGCCTACTTGCACAGTGTACAGCCGACGCCCATAAATGGGTTGCAGCTGTGGCGCAATGGATAGCGCGTTGCCCTCCTAAGGCAAAGGTTGGGGGTTCGAGTCCCCCCTGCTGTTCTGTGGTCGCGCGGAAAAAAATGTGGAAGACACCGCCTGCGGCGCACGCACATGTTTTGTGCCATTGTTGTTATCACATCGTCCTTTCGTATAGACCAGCGGTGTGATGTGTCCGTCGTGCCGCAGCCGAAACAACTTCCTACTACCTTTGCTGCCTATTTGGAGTCTCGGCGCCCAGGAACAAGTGGAATTTCCGTTTTATTGGCCTGAAGACACTTCAACGCACGAAGATTCTTCGGCTGGTGAGGATGCTCGGGCATGTGAAGGCACCGCAACACGGAAATACCTGGTTCGCTACTCCAAGGAATCCATGCAGTACAAGGTAGTGGAAGGCGACGTGTGGTGTTTGCGAGGCCGCGAACCGGGCGTTGTCCATGTCCGGGATTCGGGAGAGATGGGGATGGGTTCAGGGATCATGATATACCCCTTGGAAGCGGGACAAGACTTTAACATGGACACGTTCGTAGTGGCCCAGACGCTGAGGATTCCGATTCGACCGCCTAATAACGGCGACCCTCCAACTGGCAATCGTCCCGCCCAGGCGACTGCACAACCGACAGCGAGGACTCGAATGGACCGCAACGGTAACGGGCCACAAGGTAACCAGGTGCCAGAAAGTAATAACGGTCCGCAAGGTAATCCAGCGCCAGAAGGCGTGGATCAGCCAGAAGGCCTTAATGGGCCAGACCGCTCTAGCGGGCCAGAAGGTCGGACCGGGCCGGAAGGTCGGACCGGGCCGGAAGATCGGACCGGGGCGGAAGGCCGGACCGGGGCGGAAGGCCGGGTCGAACCAGAAGGCACAAACCCGTCTGAAGGTGCCGGCGGGGCCCGAGAAGGCGACTCAGCCGGCCAAGCTCCACGGCCGCCCAGCATATGGCGCCGTCTCGCAGACATGCTGGAAACTGAACTGGTGAGGGTTGAGGAGCGTCTCACTGCGACTCGAGAGCCGCCGGTCGACGGACCGCCGGTCGAGGGCCCTGTAGCTCCAGCCGCAGCCGCCGAGAACACGCGGTCGGACGAGACCGCGAGACCGAACGAGACGACCGGACCGGACGAAACGGAGGACCGCCCGGCGGCGCAGCCGGGTAGCTTGCGGGTCTTTGAGCGGATGGGTGCGGGGTTGTTGCGGGTTTTGGCGGACGAGCGCTTTACGTTGTTCGGCCGCCGCGTTTTGGCCGAAGACGACTCTGTTGGAGACACGGTGATGCTGGCGGTTTCGGAACAAGACCCGGAGGCTTCCGCTGAGGGTCCGGGCGGGCCCGAGTCCGACTCTTCTGGCCAGAACCGCGAGTCCGAGTCCTCCTCTCAGCAGAACCGCGAGTCCGAGTCTTCCTCTCAGGAGAATCGCGACGGGGACTCCTCGGGCGAGAATGGCTCGTCGGAGGCGGCTAGCGGTCCGGGCGTCTCGACGGAGGACGCAGGCGAGGACGCTGGCGCCGACGGGGAAGAGCGGGAGGGCCGCTGGTGGCGTATGGTGAACGAGGAAGAGGCGGCGCCGCTTGGCTTCGATGAGGAGGAGGACTCGCTGGAAGAGGGGCCGCCCGGTTTCGACCTACTGGCGCAGTTTGCCTCGCTGCGTCAGCAATTTTGGGAGCTCGATGCGCGCGCTGACCCCGATCCCGACGCGGAGCCAAACGCCATTCGGGAGACAGCGATGGGCGCAGAGGCGGAGATGGGCACAGAGGCAGGCCGGGAGGCACAGGCTGGCGCAGAGACGGAGGAAGGAGGTCCCGGGGCGGCGACGAACACGCGTGCGGCGGAGGCGCGCCCCGCCGCGGGTGCTAACGCACGCCCGGTGGACGGGCCGACCTTCGGCGAGGGTCCGGTGATCATGATGCGTGTGGATGGCGCTACGCACACGATTACCATCGATGGACAGGTGCGACGACGGTCTGCATTCCGGGACGCCTCGGCACCAGCTGACGGGGGGCTCCGTTTGGCTCATGAGGTGAATGCAGTGTTGCCGGTGAAGTGGGTGCAGGGTGTGGAGGGTTGGCGATGGTTTACGGAGCGTGCGTTGGTGCCTTTGTTTTACGCCGCTTGGTTGGAGGTACTGCGTGCGGGTCGGCACTGTCCAATCCGTGTTTTGGATGCTCAAACGAGTGCCAAGGTGGTGTTGTATGCGCAGCTATTGCGTAACCTGGTGGCTACGTTGCCGCCTGCACCTTTTGTCGAGTGGTACTCGCCCCCCACTGTATGGCGTTGGCCGGATGCGCTCCATATTAACCACCAACAGACCTTTCTCCACTCTTTAGTGCGCCACTTGCAACAAGGCCGCCCCTGGACGCAGTTATGGGCACTCGTCCGCCTGCAGGTCGTCATGCTCACTCTTACCGTCCTCTACAACCATTTACTGCAGCGGCTTAAACTACAGCACCTGCGACACACACAACAGGTCGATGACGCACTGCTGACACTCGGCGCCGACCTCGAAACCTTCTTCCTCGACGGGCACAAACCCTCCCTGTGTGCCAGACATAGGCACGTTGAAGTCGCTCTCCGACACCTCGAGTGGCAAGGCTTCCGCGATCAAGTCACCGCCCTACGCGACCACACCGACCCCGACCACCCAGCTGTAGATACCGACCCGCTAGGTCTACATACCGGCCATCTAGCTACTCGGGGTTCAGACGGCGACCACCCGGGTCCGGATACTCTCGATCGAAGCTTCCGAAAGACCCACAGCCAGCGCGAGGCCGACGTTCACTCTTCGGCCAAGAAGGCTCGAAGACCCTCGCTAGACTATCCCAAACTCTGGAGCGACCTGGCGGAGGTCCTCGCCGCCGTGCAACCGCCGGCTGCACGCAAGTCCTCCGACAACACCCTCGCCCGACTCGGCCGCGCCGGACGCGACCGCCAATCGACAGCCGGAACCGAAACGGCTCAGACCGGGGGCCCAGGGGCAGGGGACGCACCAGGAGAGGACCAGCCGACTGAAGGTCGGGCGACTGAAGGTCGGGCGACCGAGGAGGACCCGACGACCGAAGAGGACCCGACGACCGAAAGGGAGGATTTGATGACTGAAAGGGATCTGAGGACTGAAAGAGACGACCCGAGGACTGAAAGGGACGACGCGAGGATTGAAAGGGCCGACGCGAGGACTGAAAGGGGCGAACCGGGGACTGAAAGGGACCACCCGAGCACTGAAAGGGACAACCCGGTGACTGAAAGGGACGACCCGAGGATGGAAGAGCCGGCGGAGCGACCGGAGGCGCCACTGGAGGAGCGCATGATGCAGCGGTTCCTCGCGGCCTTCCGGGCACGGTCGGCGGCCGTACCGCGACCGTCGCCGCGGCCTCAACCGGCGCCAGTGAGCAAGTTGGAGGGTGTGATTCGAACGTTGAAGATCTTGACTCCGCAGAACCCGCCATTGGACAGGTTACCGTTAAGTGTGGCGGAACTGCTGAACAAGCATAACAAGCAGGAAGCCGCAGTTTCCATCCGGGATTGCGTTACGCCGAGGTTTGGACAGGCCATACGCGACCGTGGGAGGCGGCTCTTCTTTTGTGAACCAAACGTGAAGCCAGACGCGACCCAGGCGGAAAAGATTGTAGTGGAGGCGGACGTAGGGATGAGTCTGGAGACGCCGGTACTCTTGGACCAGAAGATCGAGGAGGCGGCCGGCGCGGATCTGTTTGAGCATGTTGAGAGATTGTTGGAGTCGGTGCGTGCGCACACGGGTTACGACGTGGAGGCAGACTGGGTTGAGGCGGAGGCGGCAGTGGCGGCAGTGCTGTGCGACTTTTTGACGTTCGTTTTCACGGCCTGCGCCGGGGTGCTCAAAGTGCGCGAACACAGTCGCTTGAACCAACTGATCAACCGCCTTGCCTACCCCGCTGAGCACGCTAAGATGCAACTCGCCCCGCTGCTCGCCTACCTCTACGGCAGCGCAGAGGGAAGCGTCTGCGCCGAAGGCAGCGCCTTCGACCTACAGGCCTTGGCACGACACCCGCAGTTCACGCAGCAACTAGACCGCGCACTGTGTCTGCTCTGGTCCGATCCAGACCAGCCCACAGACGTGGCCGAAGGAGAGAGGAAGAAGGCCGAAGGAGAGCCGGAGGGCAGCCCGAAAAAGCTGACGGGCATATATCCGTTGCCACGAATCAAGTTAGTGAGTTCGAAGTGCGACACAGCATTCCGGACGCCGTGGCAGCGCATGTACAGTCTCGGGCCGGCGTTGCCTGCGACGTACCACGACGCAATCCGGCTGTCTTTCCGACGTCTGTGTGCTGGCTGTAACAAGGCAACCGTCACCGGCGTGACGTGTTTGCTGTGCGGCGTCCACATCTGCTCGCGACAAACTGAACTAGCGAACCACGCCTCAACCTGCTTTGGCGGCTCCACACCCTTCCTCATGCCGCTATTTAACCACACTCTACTCGCTAATGTCTGGGTCCTGGGAGCCGAAAGCCAGAAGTACAAGGCCCCCTACCGCCGTGAAGACGGCGACAACCACAGCGGCCGCCAAGCCCACCTCGACCAAGAGCTCCTAGAACAACTATACAGTCAGACGGTGCTCAGCACCGTCTACCGCTGGATGCACCCCCACTAGATGGGTTTACCCGCACTGACTCAGCGAATCCACCCGCACTGAGGCACACTGACCTAGTGCATTAACACTGACGTAGTGCATTGACACTGACGTAGTGCATTGACACTGACGTAGTGCATTAGCACTGACTTGACCCTGGCTGAACCCCGGCCTCTGTGGACCCGTGCAGCGTGTCCCTGAGATTGCGGCGCCGGAATCACTGGGGTTCGGGAACTGACCATCCGGATGCCGGCCCAAGCCAGCAGTAGGAAATTTTTCAGCATGTTAACTTCATTCCGCTCGTTTCGGCCTGCCAGAGTGTCTGAGGCGGTTGCGAGCTGCAGCGCTGTCCGCTCCGGTGGCATGGCTGGTTGTAAGAAGCTAGCCTCTTTGAGCAGTTTCAGCGAGACGGATGCGTGTCAAATCCTTACTGGGAAAGCCACGGAGTCGCTCATCGGATCTGTCGTGGGGCCAGGACCGTTCGTGGGGGTGGCAGGCCGGAACTACTCAGGCAGTAACAAACCTCGGAACCAAGATCTGCCGAGCGAAGTGGACGTGTTGATCGTCGGCGGCGGCATCACAGGCAGCGCTCTACTCTACAGTCTGGCCGAGTTCACCGATCTGCAGAAGGTACTCCTAATCGAACGACGCAACGCCTTTGCCCAAGTCGCTTCCGGCCCGAATAATAACTCTCAAACAATCCATTGTGGAGACATTGAAACTAACTATACAATCGCCAAGGCCGCAGCCGTCAAGCGACAAGCCAACCTCCTGCGCAACTTCGTCTCCAAACTCCCCCACGGTGAACAAAAGGTGGCCACTGCAGTCATGCAAAAAATGGCTATCGGCGTCGGAGAGAAGGAATGCGAATTCATGGAAAAGAGGTAATAACCCCCC